GGTACATAGAAAATCGATGGTTTTTTTAACATAAATGTCATCTATGCACTATGCTCCAAGTACTTATCACCAATTCATTGTTATTAAACTACGTCCACAACTAGTAATTCAAATATAAATTAAGCATAGGGCAAAAGTGAAAAAAAAAAAATAATTAATTTGTCGGTCATCAAGTGTACAATAATGATTGCAATGTGGTGCGTGGTCTAACTATGTGAGCGCTTTGTCATCTGCTTTGGGTTTCGGTCGGTCTTCTTGGACCTCAGTTTTACGCAGAAGACCTCGGTTCTTAAGAAGTCGGTCATCATCACAAGAGTGCGAAAACGGTCCATCATTTGAGCTTTATTGAGTTAAATCAAGTTTGGTGTATCGATCGATTTAGGCACTAATCTTCGATCAATATTCATAAATCTTTAGGCTCAATTCGGTTAATCAGGTCGGTTATCAACAATCAAATTGATGCTCGGCAATCAACACGTGTGACACCGTCGTTTATGACAAAGGGCCGTTTATCATATCCGTCGTACGCATTAAGTGTGGGCGGGGCACGTCTTTTCGCAACCGGCGTGTCTTTTGTAACCGTCACACCGTTTCACCTCGGGAGACAACAATTAAAATCCACCAAAGGGTCCAAACGTCGGGGGGATTGAAGATACTCTAGGTCGGTTTTAGCAAATGGAAAACGACATCAGAAGCCATCACTACTCGTATGCCTCCTAATGTCGGGGCCTTTATGTTGACAATCAACCCAACCAGTTGAATCAGAAGACGCCACGTGGAAGGTTAATTGCGAATATTCGACTAAGTATGGAAGGGTTAGAAAAAAGCCGACTTGGAATAGCAGCATGAAACGCGTACACCGACTTCATCAACAATACAAGGATCGACCTCCTTGAGTACCTGCGAGACCAACCTCCATCAAAACACCGCGATCAAGTCGACATAGACGAGACCCGCCTGTCAATCAGACGTCGGTCGCACATGCTCTTATCATTACATATGGGCCCAATTGCAGAGTAGCCGTCTTTATGCGGTCAACTCACATTTAATGCCGCCGAATCTACCTCAAAAGACGAGCCAAAGAATACTATAAATAGCAGCATTTATACAAGGATTTTTTTCAGAGACGTTTAATACACTCATTAATTAACTCGATTCCACGTAAACCAACCTCTTGTATACAAAAACCGACTTGAAAGTAATACAAATTCAACTAATTTACAGCCTTCTTATTGTTTAATCTTCATATTCGTCGTTGTTAAATTCCACATAACAACAAATATACAATCACCATTATAACCATTTATCTTATAATATAGATATACGAATTTATTATATTCTATTTTAATTTATGTAATAAGAATATGGTTTTATTTTTAGTATATTTTACTTTGTAGATTTTCGGATTTCACCCATACACACGAGATTCCACTCTCCTCTGTCCCACTCAAGTGAATTGGTTTTGAGAGCATTCCGCCAGTTTTTGGCGACTTTCACTTTCAACCCGATTCACAGGCTACGTGCCCTTTACGCCCGTCATTCCGAAGAACACTTACCCTTCTCGCTTCAATCGTGCAACTTGCTCAAAGACCACTCTCATTTCCCTAAGACAAAGAAGCCAGTTGTCCTTTAGAGCTAACTGTAATGTCTTTTTTGCCCCATTTAGGAGTAGTCAAAACTCAAAACCTTTATTGAACTTCGCTTCACTTTGTTCGTACACTACGCCTCATAACAACATCCGTTTATGATACTTAATAACTTATAAATAACGTATAGAAAAATGTTAATTAATATACAAAATATATTAGTCATGTACGAACACATGTTGACATTCGCATAATATGGTGAATTATAGAATTTATCAATAAATTTTAATTTTGTAAAAAAGAAAAAAAAATTATATTTTTATAAATATATGTAAATACATTTAGATTATTAATATATTATTTAAAACAAAGTTGAAGAATAATTTATCTATCTTACATTATATACTTTAGAATATTGGTGTATTAATTTTGATTATAAATATTTGCTATATGAATTGAAAACTATTTTTATTTAATAAAAATAACCATATTTAAAGAAAAAAGAAAAAAAAATTGGTCATTGTCCATATTTATTGGGTTACCTTCATGTCTTTTATAGAATAGTCAAAGAGAATGATACAATTTGATTTCGTTAAAGTCAACTAGGCTGGATTAGATCGAGTATTGAAACTATAAATAAATTCTAATATTGTGAATATTTCGTTACAATAAATATAATATATTCCAATTAATCAAATGAAAATGTTCTTATGAAAACAAGTTATATAAAATTATACATTATATATTATCTATCTATCTATATATAAAGAGGTTGTTGGTAAAATCATTTTTAGAAACTTTGACCAAATAGATATAATGTTTGACTTACTATTTATACACATTTTACAAAAGCATTACAACCACAAAAAAACCGAACGGAAATGTTGTTTAAAAATGCTTAAGAGATTTATCCCATAATGAATATTAGTTGATCAAATCCCGTTTAATTTGCTAATACAAATCATTTGTCATTTTCACTCCAACAAGGTAACGGTATATCTCCATATTTTTCAATTTCACTCCGACAAGGTAACAGTATATCTCCATATGCGTGTTCTATCGCTATATTATTTCTTTTTTGTATTATTTTGACAAATATATATTAATAAATATTATTAACTTTAAAATATAATTTTAAAAACGTATTAATTTTTTTGAATTTTGTGAATACTAGATACATGTTTTAGTAAATAAAATAATATTTATATAAATATTGTTATATTAATTTAAATTTTTATGTTTATTAATGGTTTGATTATGATGTAAATAATTAAATGTGTGTAAAATAATATATCTAATTTAGTTATATGTTGATATTAAAAAAAAAAATTATCTATCTATAGATATAAAAAAGTTTGATTATTTTTTAAATATTAACTATTTCCCTCCAAAAAAAAAATCTATTTACTATTCTGAGAAATTAATTTAATAATTTATGGTATATATCAAATGATCACTTATGGAAATTGCGGCTCATTATTTAAGGAAGTAATTAAACTATATTTTAAGATACCTTAATTACTCAAATCATGTGAATTAATTAATATATGGTATAAAGTGGACGAATTTATTTTTGGTATTGATGATTGTTTCTATAGTAAATAAATTAATCAATATATGGTATAAAGTGAGATAATTTATTTTGGTGATTTTATGACTGGTTTTTTTGGTAGGAAATTTGTTGAAAACTTAATCAATATACGGTGTATTTTATGTAATGCGAATGCCAATATATTGGTTTTTAGGCGTGGGTTTCAATTTTTCGTATGAAATTAACATAATAAAATTTAGAGATGTCAATAAAACCCGTAGGGTCGGGTTACCCGCGGGTTACCCGCATTTTCGGGTCGGGTAAACCCGTGATGGTCGGGCTTCGGGTCGGGTTCGGGTAGAATTATGCTACCCGAACCCCGGGTCGGGTCGGGTGCGGGTATAGTAGAAAAACCCGTTACCCGACCCGATTACCCTACCCGTTTACCCGCACATTGAATTTTACATATAAATATATATAAGTATATATTTGTAACTTATTATAAATATAAAAGTATTCATGTGTTATTAATATTAAAAATTATATTATTTATTATAATTTTGATTAATGGTTAAATTTTATTATATTTTTATTATTTTATTATCATTTTTTGTTAATTGTACAATAAAAAAATTAAATACTTAATTTTTAAGTGTTATATTATTAAATAGACTATAAAAGTTAAATAATTATATCTTATTATTTATTTCAAAAATAATATATTTTTTTTATAGTTTTTATTGTCAAACTTAGTTGATAAATTATTTGTTACATTATAACTAATTGTAAAATTATTTTATTTTATTTTTTCATATCAAACGAGATGGGTCGTGTAAAGCCAAAATTTAAGAACTCGGGTTACCCGAAGAAAACCCGCTAACCCGATGGGTAAAACCCAACCCGAACCCGAAGATCACTAACCGGGTAACGGGTCGGGTTTGGGTAGGGTAATTTATACACGGGTCGGGTCTGGGTTTGCCAAAACCCGTACCCGACCCGACCCATTTACATCCCTAATAAAATTACCGTAACTCCGACAAAATATTATGAACTGATATTTTGATATAATGTGTGTGTATCGACATAGAAAAAGCTCTGATCAATTTCTTTTTGTATAATTAGTGAGTCTCGATTTAATTCATTTACTGTTATGACATTTCAAATATTTTTTGTGTGAAACGCATTGTTAATTTTTTTTAGCATGATAAGGAGCGTCGATTTTTTTGGCATAAAAAATCTTATGACTGATTGTTTTTACTCAACTACTTAAATATTTCGATTTGGATATTTTATATAAAAATAAATTTATTTTATTTAATGAAACAATATAAGTTTTATATTTATACTCATTATTCACATAGATTTTTAAATATATGATGAAATTTTACCAAAATAATTATTTTATGGAATCACGTCACAGTCAAATTGAATTTTTGATTAAAATTTTTGAAATGACACATATTTTGAAACGAATATAATGTAATTTATTATCAGTTATGTGCAACGCGCGAGTTGTGTTCTAATTTTAAATAGACGTTTTTATGTAATTTTTCATAATTTAAATTTTATATAATATTTTTAATAAATTAATACAGGTACATTGTATTAATATTGATTCCATGCTTTTAATTTATAAATATGATTTATAAATACTAATGAATATCTCTTACCCGTGTATCGCACGAGATTCGTACTAGTTTTAATAATAATATTATAATTTGAATAAAATAATATTGTTAGTGGTGGGCCAGAAAAAAGGACTGGGCTGAGACAATGAATTCGGTCCGTCAAAGGAAAATTCTAACGGCCCAAGTGGCCCAAAAGTCTCCTCAAACCCTACGCTTGGCCACCATATATATATAAGAGAGTTGGGCGGGGGAGTTCGAAATTGAGACCAACAGGACGTATAGGGACCAGATGCACCTGACCATACAATACAATTTCCTTCAGGTACATATATAGCAATTTGCATGTTTTAATATTCTACATTTGTTGTTCTTTGTTGAGTGTTTGTCTCACAAGACCAAAAGAGCTCTAATGGGTGATTTCAGTGGAACAACCTACTCAAAAAAAACTTTGCGAAACTTAGCGAGGTTGAGCGCGACAGCAAAGTCAACATGATATTGTGTTTGGTTGTTTAGTTGAGATGATTTTATTTATTTTTCTAAAATGTGAATGTAGGGTGCAGAGTTTTGGGCTGAGCTATTAATTGTTTATGTAAGTTTCTTGTTTAGGAGCTATTCTTTTGCTGTTTCACACACACACACTAATATATATATTAGTGCCCAAATATGCTTTACCTTGTACATTTATGATCTGCTTGTTGCATACGTATGGCCACAATTAGTTTGTATAGTGGTTGCAATAAATTTGTATAATAAATGGAGTAGTACTAGAAAAAAAAAAATAGAATAATGGGCCGGCTGTGCTGGGCACAGCCGGAGTCATCTAGTATAGTAATATAATTGCAACTTGTGATTTCTTTAGTCATTGTGATTTGTGAATTCTAACCTTTTTCTTTTGATATTTAGAAGAAGTTGACTATTCTTTCCCTGAAACCCTTGTGAAGTTTAAGAATAGCAGTTACTAAAATTATTGACAGAGATGGCGTATGTGCGGTGATATTCGCTGGAAAACGTGTCAAATTAAACGAGTTTGGCTCGGCTCGGCTCGGCTCGTTAAAGCTCGAGTTCGGCTCAACTCGTTTGATAAACGAGCTGAGCTCAAGCTCATTTAAAGCTCGTTTGGTTATAAGGCTCGTTAAGGCTCGNTTTTTTGGTAGTGCCTTTTCCGATTGCCTCCTCTCATCCTTCACGGCGCAGAATCCACTCTAATTCAGAGACGTTTCTAATTCAGAGACGTTGATAGATGGTTGAGTAAGATGTGATATTGCAATTTTTTTAATAGATCTTTCAATTTGGTTCATGCCGATGGAACGAACGAAATATAGTGACTCATTTTCTCTCTCGATTGCGAGTGTTTTACTATCAACTTAAATTTGCTTCTATCTGTTAGATCTCTTTAATCCAATTTAGAGACTTCGTAGAACTGGAATTTTCGTTTTGTAATTGTCAGTCATATTTTAGAATAGGTTTGTATAGATTTGTATTGTCAGTGACGAGTTTACAATTTCTATATATGTTCTTCCTCGATCTTGGCTGCACGTGTGAAAGATCATACTCACTTGACAACTATCATGTGGTTTTTTTACTTGTCTTTTATGCTTTGCAAGTAGCAGCTTATTCATGTTATTTATTACGAGTAATAACGTTTCATTTGAGACGTCTGACTACTTATCAAATAAATTGATGTTGTGAATGTGAGACCATAAAAAATTAATGCTACTTCAAGTAGGCAAACTAATAGGTTGCATAAAAATGTTAGTACACTTAATATACATCATTGGAGCACTTTTTACCATAGCACACTGAAATTTGTATCAAAGAGCACCACACTTTCGGGATGTTAGTAGCGAGTTTCATTGTCTTTCTTGTTCTTATTCCCATATATTTATTCATTATAAAATCTTTGTTTTTTTTTTTTCATAAATTTGATAAACATTATTTTGTTTGTTAAACATTGGCATTGGCTGTAAAAAATTATATTGAGAATGATCGTTATTTTAGTCTGCCACACAACAATCGTTATGCTTTACTATGTGAAAGGGGAGATTAGTTATTTAATCCAGTGTTATCAATGGCGGATGGCGGTACGTGGCATTTTGCCAAAATTCCGCCATAGCGGCCGCCGTGGCGGTCTATGGCGCCGCCATGACCGCCATTATTCACAAATTTTGCATAGCGGATTGTTAAAAATCCGCCACGCCATACCGCCATGGCCGCCATTTGATAACACTTTTGATCGAAACAATACTTTTTTTTGCATGACTAGAGATGAGTTCACGAACAGTTTTCCATTACACGTGCTTTACTTTTTATAAATATCAACTTCTAACAAGACCAATTATTCTTGTCAGTGTGTTTTGTCCATTTCTTTTTAATCGTGTTCTTATTATAATTTTTGGTTTTGCTGGGGATAGCTACCAATTAAAGGGTTTCTTTTATTTGCACTTACAATTAATTCAAAAGATAAATGTGTTTTGAAATTCTTTCCGGTGCTCATAGCCCCTTTTTTTTGTTATTGTTGTGTATGTATTTATTTATGTTTTGTTTTCAGATGACACAAAATGTTTTATAGCCTACAATCAGGACCAGAATGCCACCACTGAATATAGAATTCGATCCAGTTTCTCTTATAATTAACTTTTCCAATTGTTATTTGATGAACGAATTGTATTTTGTAATCGATTTAGTATTGTTTGTTTATATATGAAGGTGCCCTTATATATTTAGGTGGTTCATTGAAAGATGGGATTATTAACTATATTAGTTATCTCCCTTAAATCTCCATATATATGAGGCCAATTTATGTTTTCTCCAATGATGTGTGTTTGATGCAACTACTATTTTAATCTCACAATTTTTTCTCGTGCAATTAGCTATAGCTTTATTACTCAATGTCATTGTAGGATGGGATCAATATATTTCGAAAGAGAATGAGAACTGATGTCTTTGGTGTGGTTGTAGAACTTGGAGAGAGAGCAGGAGCATTGTCTTCAATGAAAAGGACTGCTTTGAGAGAGTTTACATGTTCCTTCCTTCTCTTATTTTTGCAATAAGGTATTTTTTACACATGCGTTTGTTCTTCATAACTATATTTTTCTTTTTTCATGAATTTTATAATGCACATGTAGAATATTTTATTGTGAATTCTTTTCTACACATTGATTCCAAATGGATTTTGAAATATCAGTTATTCTACTCTATTAAGTTTAAGTTTTCACTAGACGATCAACATCTGAAACATATATTTAAAAGTTTTTGGTAATTAGTCTGTTTCTCTTTTATTTTTTGGTAAAATAAACTACTTTTTGTGTCAATGTGAATAATTCTGGACTTCGATAACCATTAACTTACTTTAAGAAGGAAAAAAACAACTGAAGAATATCCTTCAATAGTAAAGCAAACGACGATGAACAGTGAGACGAACGGTAATTATTTAGGCAAGAGACAATGTAATTGGCACGCCAATTAACTTTTTGCCTTTCTCCTGCAGCCAGGTGAGCACGCAATTACTGAACATGGTTAGTATTATTTAGGCAAGAGACAATGTAATTGGCGTGAGCGAAAACAAAAATGATCCATAGGGATAAGTTATCTCAGCCGTGAGAGTTAAGTTTTTATTATTTAGGAGTTTTCTGGATGACGAGTGTGTAATGGTTAGTATATTAGAATTTGTGTTAATTACTGAACATTATTGTTTAACTTTCAATGACAGATGATATGTTCAAGTTAGAAATTTAGTTTTCGATGCCAATTATATCATTTTTTTTCATTGAGTTTCCAATTCAACTTAGATGGGTCCTATTCAAGTAGAATGTATAATATCATTGACTCATTTGATCCAAATATGATACCGGTAAAGAATTAATTTTAGAATGAAATTGAGTACATTACATGATCTTTTATATTTATAACCATATTGATTGAGGAATTAACAATATTTTAAGTTAAGGAGTAGATATTTGCTATTGAAAGAATATATTGCTTTCATATGGTTTCCAGAATAATTGGCATGTGAAATTCATTTTGCTGATGCTTCATGATATTTTTTAATAGCATAACATCAGAGTTCATGTTTTTTTAGTTTTTTTAGTTTTCCGGCACGGTTAAGTTCTAATCTCAAAATTTTGTTTCTAAATTTAATTTAACAAGAAAAAATATGCACAACCACTTGTTTTTTTCTTCATTGGATAAGAAACATGTCTATGTTTTTGCTTTCATACGTTCAATTTCTCTCACTTCGCCAATGTGATTTCGAAAATAATTGAGGTGTAATTGTGAATGACGAAAACAAAAAATGATTGTGGTGTTTTTGGCCAAAAATAAAAATAAAAATAATGGATTTAGCATGACAATGTTGGCGTTCTATGTTCTTTTAACTAACATATGTTATTTTTTAGTTGATAGAAATAACATTCCTTCCAAAAGATATTAAATTCTTTTTTTTGTAGATAAATGAAGTGAAATCATCAAGCCAATTTCCAAGACAATTAGCATGGGCTGGCCGTGCTGTGCACGGCCTATAATCCCTAGTATACACATATATCTCTCTCTTCTTACATATAAGAAAAAGTGTGAGGGGTTATATGCCTGACACGTAGCAATTTTTTTCGGACATAAATACCCTTGACTTTGAACTATTTTTACACTGTTACCCCTCAGTTGTTGCCCTTTTCTTCCCGATTACGTCTCCACCAACTCCCCTATTCTCTCCTTTGACTGCCCAGTACAATGTCGGTATTCAGATCTCAAAAATCCTCTCCAAAAATCATCTATACTCTCCAAAAATCCTCTCACTCAGATCTAAAAAAAAAAAAAATTCCGCAAACCAAAGAACGGCGGCGTCAAGGTTACGGACGAAGGTCTGCCGTGCAAGGAGCACCTGCGACGGCTATCAAGCAACAAAACTGGTAAAAACTCTGCAAGAATTTATTTCGCTTACTCCCGTTCTCTTCTTCCATCAAGCCCTATCCCTCTCCATCTTCTACTCTCTGTACCAATTACACGGCGTCGATTTGTAGTTTGCCCTCATGTGGAGATGGACGACGGCCTCCTGAACTTTCACGCGATTGGTTATTGTTCGACAAGCATATGTGGGATATGAGGAGCTTCGCCACCTCGACGGACGGCGTGGAGACGCCAGCAGACACGAGGCTCGAGGACAATCGCGAGACCCAAATTAGAGAGTCGGTGCCCCTCTCCTGCGCGGCCTCCGTCAGCTTCAGCATGGCGTCATAGAGCCGCCGCCTCTACGCCGTCATCCGACTGCCAGAACCTAGATTCCGGAGGAAATCGTGGCAGGCGTAGGTTTTAGAAAAAGCCCCCACAAAAATTTCATTTTTTTTTCGGTTTTTACTGCCAAAATTTTGACCGAGAAGAGACTTATGCAAGGATTTTGTTCCCCGAAAATCTGCACTGTCGTACCTGCAAATGATTTTGGAGCTTGCGTGGTGCATGGCCTTCCGGGATTTGCGCTATGTAAGTAAGTTTTTCTCATTTTTCTTTTCTCGCTTTATCTCTTTTTTATTTTGTCTTCGTTATTTGGTTCAAGTGATTGGCTCCGTCAATCTGAATCCTTTTCTTGCTCTGAACAGGTAAAGTGGGAAGAAGGACTTCTCAACCGCGATTTTGGAGAGCAAGAAGGCGGCTAATTAGCTAATTGTAGATGGGGCTGTCAACGGTGACATCTGACATCTTCGTCGTCTCTCTTCACCAGAACACCATGAAAACGATATCTTTGGAGGACGCCTCACTGCTGAGATCGATGACCAAAATGTCTATCCCACAAAAGCACGAGCTTGCGGAACTAGGGGGACGTCTTAAACCTCAATCCTACCGTTTCAGTCTATCAAAGTTTTTCCTTTCTCACGTGGCTCAATTGACGTTGGTTTTTCGCCGTCCCAGGTTTAATTGTTGAAGTTTCTTTTCTCTGTTGGTCGCCGGCGTTTGTTAAACCATACACCCTGTGACAAAGGGATTCTAAAAAAGGTTATTTGTTCACTTGCGAATTGGGTGTTGCTACTTTTAATCTATGGGGATATTGTTGCAATTTCAACACGCGTGCTTTGGGTCTTGATATCTTTGAGTAGAAAGTAGATATCTTGATGGAAATTGGTGAATGGTGATACATTGTGCCGAAAAAATTGTACGTTGACAGTGGCATGCTATTGTTTTTTATTATGGTATTATGTCAAAGATGGACCTTTATAGATGATCCGTGATTGAATGGGCTTTTGGTCAAATAATCGTGTCTTGTGCTGAAAAAATTGTGCCTTGGCGATAGCATGCTGTTATTTTTTGTAATGCTATTATGTCAATGATGGAACTTTTGTGGATGACTGATGATTGAATGGACAGGAAAGTTACGTTTTTCTTTTTATTTATCTTCCGTTGATAGTCATGTTTCTGTGTTTAGCTGGAAAACAATGAATACAAAGATTAACTCCCGACTATTTTCAATATATGTAAATGTTTTTGACATATTTGTTGTTTGGCGTGATGTCTGTTCTGATTTAAAAATATGTTTGCATTTGTGTTTTTTATGTGGTGTTTTGTTTTGTTTTGTTTTTTTTTTAATTTCTCTGTTTGCTTAACTTGAGGTTTATATTTTACATTGTCATGTGTCTTTATCCTCACTGTTCTGTTCTTGTTTGTAATTTCGAACCATCATGTCTATCTATATCAAAACATTCAAGTTTGTTTTGCTAATTTGTTGTTTTTTTACAAAAAAGAAAGAAAAATTGCAGTAAACAAGAATGGCTTCAGTTGTGCCAATTTCAATTGACTCCTACAATCACGGGTTTGTCGGCGCCGGAAAAATGGCTGAGAGCATTGCAAAAGGCGTTGTCAAATTAGGGGTTTTGCCTGCTTCTAGCATTCGGGCTGTACATCTTGCCACCTCTCGACGTACTGCCTTCGAGTCGTTTGACGTCAAAGTCCTTTCTCACAACATGGAGGTATGTTCTATTATTGGACTTTCTCCACGTGGTAATTTATAGGTGTGGCTTGGTGCTTCAGAAATAATAAACTATGAACTATTTTACGCATGAATTAGTTTATGTAGCAAAAACTTTTGAAAGCACCGATTTATTTGTTTAGGGAGTGATGCTCCATTAGATCACTCCACCAGGAATTTAAGTTCTATGTTTCATTAGGTTTTATGCCCGGCTGTCTGACGAACAATGCAGAAACTAGGCATGTCTTCACTTCCAGAACAACCGTGGGTGTTTTCCTCTAGCTGAAGCTCAAAGCTTTTTGCTTTTTTGTTTTGTGTATTCCTTGGGCATAGATCAATCACTTTTATCCTTTCTTAATGGTACTTTGTTGTGTTGTTGCTAAAGACATTTGAGTCTCAATTTGATGTTGAAAATGCTAAGCTCATGTGGGCTGATACGATTCAGTGGATAAAAGAATTCCATACTGATACTATTCTGGAGGTAACTGACTTACTGTTATACTACCTAATTGCTTATGCCTACATACGATTCCACGGGACCAGTTAAGGTTTTTTTTTTGTCTCTCTTTTACTTTGTTAGGATTTTGAATTTAAAGAGCTGAATGAAGTCTTGAATTACTACCCCCATAACTATCATGTGGTTGATAAAATGGGCTGCTACATAATTATGTAATGCATTCATAAATCCCATTTGCATTGTCAATTATACAAGTGTTGGGTTTCTTTGATACACTTTTCCAAATATTTTGTGCAGAGGGCATCCATTTCATCGTAGCCGTGTGCTTTTTTGGGTTATGATCTATTACTTTTCTGCCTAAAAAAACGGACGACCATCGGATTTTAAGGATTCTGGCCATGGCTGGAAAATTTTCTTTCTAATTAGCCACACCATACACCACGTGTCTGGCGCTTAAAACTGGTGCCAATTTCTAGGAGGCCGCTTAATGTTTTATATGCCCAGTATCTCGGATATATAGCATATTGATGTTCATAATTCATTTATTGTGAAAGATATTTGCTAGCTTTTGTTTGTCTAATCTGCCAGTATACGAATTAAATGTTCTAATTTGGTATTCAGGTTCATTAGGTGAATATGTTTTTCCATCACTCTAGAAAGATAATTATGTTTTTTATGACTTCTGTTGCTGGTTGTCTTTTCTGGACATGAATTAGAGCGTGTGTGTGTCGTCATTGTATGATGAATCGATTTTATTTTAATTTGGAATTTGTTGCAGTGCTATATAGAAATGTCTTGCAGTCTATTTTGGAGATCACTGGCGAGTAGCGGCAGGGAGACTTGAGAGCGGTGATTGTGTTCAGCCGTTGACTGAGTTTGGAGATCGTCGGCAAACCACTACCCTATCGACGGGGACTTAGCGGCTGAATTCGAGCAAGGAGTAAGTTCTACCCAAATTTATGCGGGAACGTTCAGACACCTCCATACATTTCTCAATATATGATATTCCTCAATGTGAGTTTCACATTCAAATTTCCCAAATCCTGATGCATTGTTTTTAGACTTTTCATGTTCGTTTAATATATATCCCTATTGGTTTGGGTTTTTTAATTTTCATTTGATAGAGCTTTTTTTTCTTGCTTCAATCGGGTATGGTACTAATTGAGACTGCCCTGCTCACATCAAGATTCAGCTTGGATGAGCCCAGCATGTTCTGGGATTGGATTAATAGGATGTTCAAGCTTGAGCTGAAAGCTTGAGCTGATCATTGATGAGGATGCCAGGGAGGGTGGTTTTTTCAGACTGTTGCGGATTAGGATACCCATTTCAAGCAGGTAATTAATGTTTTTATATCCTCTTTCGTGTGTGTGTGTGTGATCATAATGGTTGAAATTGTTCAGCTTATTTTTTTTTGTTAAGGGAGGAAATATAATGCAGCCATTTATAACGAGAGCTCATGAAACGTTATATAAGCTCAGCAGGTCTGAAATGATGCAAGAATTAGACGATGTGTCTAATCGACAGTCCCAAGCAACCAACCGTGGACCAAGAGTAAGTTAATCTCCAGTAAATGGCAGATTTCTGGCGCTGGCCTTTGTTTCTTCAATTGAAAATCAGCGACGATCAAAGATTTGGGCTGACTTGGCAACAGGATATAAGTGGAGAAGAAAACCAGCATCTGGATATTTCAACAAAAAAGTGTGTTTTTCATCTTTCATTTGTTATCTTATGATTTAGCTCCTATCATTAATATAGTTCTTTGATATGTTGCTGAAAATTAGTCTCTATGTCTGCGCTGCACTATTTGGTCATTTTTTATTTTTTTTTCATTTGTTTAAATTGTGTGTTCTTTTTCTTCTTTTAAATGCTTTTTTTGTTTTCTTTTGGTGAGATTTCAGACATTTAACGAGCAGACAATTTTTTTGATTTTTTGTTTTGGTTTTGTAGATTGAATGTGAACCAGAGCATTTAGTAGAAGAATTCGACGCAAAACAAGATATTGGCGAGAAGCATAGAGTTCTACTACGTGACATCATTGAGAAGATTAAGAAGCATTTCATATGAAGGGATTTAGAGGTGAATCATAACCTATACTTTTTTTCTTATTATTATTGTTATTATTTCATTAGTATTCAGCATATTTTCTGTTTTAGAATGCACTGTCACGTTTGATGCTTTGTTACCATTTTTAAATAAACTTATAAAAAATAACTCACTGGAAAAGGAACAAGAATAATGTTTTCATTTTTTTTTCATAAGAATTAAAGTGAAAAAAATGCACCTTACATTTATCTAGCTCTCCATCTTCTACATTTTTCTGGATGTCTGCTTGAGTATGAGGGGAATGACAAGGATGGGCTGGACATGATGACTGAGACGGATATCAACATTGTCATCATGTTCGGTGGGTGTTGTGTATATTGTGTACTCTGTGTCATGACGGTGAAGAACTTTGATCCAGCCAGGTATGCTGGAAGATGGTTCGGAGTGCAGGGTCAAGAAGATTGCCATTGCACTCAGGTACTCTTATTATCTGTGCTCATAGTCCTAAAGGCAACATCTTCACCACCATTACTTGGCAAATTGTGTTGTGTGTCAATCACATGCTACTATTTTTTTCTTCTGATGTCTAATAAGTTGTACAAGAAATTTATAAATTTGGGAAATAAATATACGAGCTCTTTTCTCTTGTGGGTCTTTGGGTGGAAATTTTACTCTGGTTGTTGAATTATATGTTTCTTACATTATATGCAAGCCATTTATACATATGATTGGAAAATACCTTCTCTATCCAGGTTGATACAATTTGTGCTATCAGGTTGATACATTTTGTGTTCATGGAGGGATATTTTATTATGTTGTGGGGATTCTTACTTTTGTGATGGATTCATATGAATTAATTTCAATCTACTTTTAAAAATGTTGGCAAATGTATGTATGTGTACTCTTCGAGTTGGCCAAATATATGTATAAGGTTGGACATATCTTAAACAATAAACAAAAGAACAATCAATATTTCATAATATTTCATAATTGTAGATTGAACTCGGGCACAGCCGAGAGCCCACTAGTCTGTCTCCTATATTAATAAGGCAATAAGAGACGGCATGTGTGCTTGACACGTACCCCTCCTTGTGCTGACGAAATTGCCCTCACTTATACTTTCATTTCTTTTGTGTTGGTGAGGTTTTATTGTAATTTAAATGTCTAGATGTCCTCTCTAAAATTTCTGACCACGTGATTGAACTCCATTTTCCACCTACCCTCTTGCATCATTGCTACACAAAAATATCTAGATGACCTCTCTCAAATGCTCAGGCCGTGCCCTTTTGGCAAAAAAGAGAAGAATTTGATCACTACTCCTTAAGCCCTCGCCGCCATAGCCATATCATCACACTATTGTGCGACTTGGGAAATTGGTCGGATCGGAAATTGGCTGCGTCTCGAGATTGGGTACTCCGACCCGTTTAAGAGTAATTTTTTTAGAAGTGGTGAGAGTGTTGAACTCCACTTTCAATTTACTGTTTATTAGATGAATAGATTTGAGGTGATTTCATAGTATTATGAAAGAAAATATTTTTCTACAGGTTCCTCGACCACTAGCAGACACTGAGGTTGAGAGTTGTGCTCTTCAAATTAAGGTTGTGCTTTCCATGGACCTCAACCGATCTTCTTATGCCCCCAATCAAATTTAAGGTTCAAGTTATTATTGAACATGAATTTTGGATTTTCGTTCTGTTTTAATTTCCAACCATTTTTCTAACCCTGTTTCTTGATGCCTTTGAAAATCAGGCAATCTTGACTGCTTTCGGGTAGCAGCCAAAAGGACACGACTTAAACAGTGCGATCCAAACATGTGTTGTTGTTTATTAATTATTGAGGTTGAAAAACTATTTTAATTTGTTTATTCTTACTGATTTTTTTTCCGATATTCTGATGAATTTTGTTCATCGCACAAATATGGTTTTAGGTTTGGTTGGGTGGAGTGCAAGCCCTACAATATATCTATGAAGGTGCGTCTGTTGATACTTTTTTTCCAAATTTTTAGGGCTTTTAATATTTGGGACAAAACTCATTTAGTTTATCTACTTGATTGCATTCTATCTTTTATCGTCCAAGTAATATATTGTCTACTTAGTGGTGTGCGCATCTAAGTTTTAAGTTTAATGTTCTTTAGTTTCTCTCTTTATTTCATGAATTTTTGGTGGTATACTTAGTGCGATAATTACACATTGTTTATCCGCAAAATTTCTTAAAAAAGGAAAAAGAGAGACCCTCCTGTAATACTCCAACCTCCCCATTCATTCCTTATGTAAGGTGTAGGTGATTGCTGATGGCTTCATTTGTTGGAGATGGATTATCAACTGGCTGCTTCTCAATTTTGAACTAGCAATTGTATAGGCATAGTAATCCCGATAATATAATAGAAAATAAAATGTCGGCCAGTAAGTGCCTACTTGGAACATAAATATTATTTTTCTATTTTTTTAAGATAAAGGCTCAGTCGTCGCTTTTGCTGTGCCACATGACCATCGAGAAAAGCCAAGAAGAAACATATGTGGTTATCAAGGGCGAATTTAAATTTATTAAAAATTTATTAAAAATTTTAAGTTGTCTCCCTTTAAATTTATTTTTGCACCCCCAAATTTTTTGTTTTTAAACGTTACTCACCAGCCAACTTGTCCACAATTGTCAATTAACAATTCAACACTTCTTTTATTTTACTATTAATTTTGTATATTAATTTTTATCATTCTATAATTTAAATTTTAATTGGCCCACATAAAAGATTTCAATTCCTGGTATTTTTTTACCGAAACCCGAAAATCGAACGAGAAAATAAACTGAATCGAACCGACTTATGTGTAACGGTAACCGAAAATCGGTTACCAAAATGTTATCGGTTCGATATCGGTTCTGAACCCATTAGGGTTCGGTTCTAAACCCATTATATCATGTCTTTTGTTCCCTCTCAACTAATTTTTTGGTTTCGCCCCTGGTGGTTATGTCGAGAGCAAAGAGGAGTTCTTGAGAATCAAGAGTTAGACATGGATGTTATTTTTTTATATAATTTTTAATTTTTTAGTACTCTTTCATGCTGTGTTTGATATATTTGTCAAAATTTGTATTTTTTTTCCCACTATATGTGATTGTTCTCGAGTTGTTTTCTATGAAACTTACGTATAATAAAGTTGATAAAGATAATGACTAATGAACTTGGTGCATCCTCATCCCATAGTTATGCCAGTATCCTTTAGAAAATAGGGCCTAAGATTTTGTTGGGATTAAATAATTTAGGGTAAGTATAGAACAGTGCAAAAAATGATTTCTTGCTTGCAGCTTATAGTTCTCTTTAGCCATGTTTGGACATATCACATTGCTATATTAAGGTATAAATTACAAATAAAAATCTAAATTTAAACTAATCAAAATCCAAACAATGAAAGGAACCAAAATTCAAAGCCAGAGTATATTCACCAATATACGAAATGAAAGAAGGAATTTCATAATTCATATCTTGGATCAACATTATGCAAATAACTCTTCTTTGGTCAAGGACTGTTTTCAAATTTCAAATATCAGTAACTTTCACAGGTTTTTCAAGTATACAGACTTTTTGTGCAATTTATAAATTGAGGTAAAAAAGTAAAAGCAAGTTGATACATAGAGAGTTGGAAACTGTATCCCCCAAAAAAGTGGGGGGGGGAGCTATTAAAGAAATGGCTTGATAAATTGTCGTGCCTAAATCAGTTCCAATCTAAACAACGAATTCTGTGTAGTACCCACAATCGGATATAGTAATCTCGTTTTTTTAATATCAAATCACATATTTTCCTCCAATCGCCCTTTTTGAGGTTAGTTCTTAAATCTTTATTGTAATTACCAGACTTAGTATTAAAGATGGACCCAACAGTTGCTAGTTTGAGAAACTACAAATTTTCACAATATGGGGGGATTAAGTATAAGAGCATGACTCTTGATTTTGATTTTCACATCTCACAAGTCACAATCTTAATATTCATGAGGGAAGGCAAAAGATTTTGTTGCATCCATTTCATTTTTTCTCACACAGTGTAGTAGTAAACCAACATCATCAACCACATATTGTAGTGCCAGTCCTCGTAATGTCTAAGCTTCAAACACTTTCATGAATTTCGTAACCCTTTTGGTTCATTCCATTATTCTTTTGCCGTTTTCCATTCACCAACAATATATATATATATATATATACATATATATAGTTGGAAAGTTAAAATGTGAATTGTACTTACTCGTATTGCAATCTGGTTTATTCCTCACTGTGAGTATAGACAGATTCACTTCAAGTCTGTAACCCTTAACATGCAGTAGGATGTTACTTAATTTCATATTGTAGCATAATTCGCCTTTCTCGTGTAGGGAATTTACCGCCTCGACAATATCCCTGAACATGAAAATAAGTTAATATTATCTAGAAATATTTTTCTAAGTAAGAAAGTGGTTGGTTATTTGTGCATACCTTAATATCCAAATAAGCAAGGAGGAAGGTCTTTTTTGTCCATAAGACATCTCCCACGACGGAAATTTGTAACCTCCAACACGTCCATTTTTGTCCATGAGATATTTCAAATCACATTCATACTTCTTCATTACCTGATAGAAGTACTTGTCATCACTCCAAATATTGATACTTAAATACGAGCATATGAGGACAAAATAATAAACTCTCTTAAATTAACTTTTTACTTCTTAATTACCTGATAGAAGTAATTTTCATCTCTCCTAATATATTTGGAGTGATGACAAGTGCTTCTATCAGGTAATTAAGAAATAAAAAGTTAATTTGAGAGAGTTTATTATTTTTGTCCTCATATGCTCGTATTTTAAGTATCAATATTTGGAGTGATGACAAGTACTTCTATCAGGTAATGAAGAAGTATGAATGTGATTTGAAATATCTCATGGACAAAAGTGGACGTGTTGGGGTTATACATTTTCGTTGTGGGAGATGTCTTATGGACAAAAAAGACCTTCCTCCTTGCTTATAAGGATATTAAGGTATGTACAAATAACCAACCACTTTATTACTTAGAAAAATATTTTTAGATAATATTAACTTATTTTCATGTTCACGGATACTGTCGAGGCGGTAAGTTCCCTACACGAGAAAGGCGAATTATGCTACAATATGAAATTAAGTAACATCCTACTGCATGTTAAGGGTTACAGACTTGAAGTGAATCTGTCTATACTCACAGTGAGGAATAAACCAGATTGCAATACGAGTAAGTACAATTCACATTTTAACTTTCCAATTATATATATGTATTGTTGGTGAATGGAAAACGGCAAAAGAATAATGGAATGAACCAAAAGGGTTACGAAATTCATGAAAGTGTTTGAAGCTTAGACATTACGAGGACTGGCACTACAATATGTGGTTGATGATGTTGGTTTACTATTGCACTGTGTGTGAGAAAGAATGAAATGGATGCAACAAAATCTTTTGCCTTCCCTCATGAATATTAAGATTGTGACTTGTGAGATGTGAAAATCAAAATCAAGAGTCATGCTCTTATACTTAATCCCCCCATATTGTGAAAATTTGTAGTTTCTCAAACTAGCAACTGTTGGGTCCATCTTTAATACTAAGTCTGGTAATTACAATAAAGATTTAAGAACTAACCTCAAAAAGGGGATTGGAGGAAAATATGTGATTTGATATTAAAAGAACGAGTTTACTATATCCGATTGTGGGTACTACACAGAATTCGTTGTTTAGGTTGGAACTGATTTAGGCACGACAATTTATCAAGCCATTTCTTTAATAGCTCACCCCCCCACTTTTTTGGGGGATACAGTTTCCAACTCTCTATGTATCAACTTGCTTTTACTTTTTTACCTCAATTTATACATTGCACAAAAAGTCTGTATACTTGAAAAACGTGTGAAAGTTACTGATATTTGAAAACAGTCCTTGACCAAAGAAGAGTTATTTGCATAATGTTGATCCAAGATATGAATTATGAAATTCCTTCTTTCATTTCGTATATTGGTAAATATACTCTGGCTTTGAATTTTGGTTCCTTTCATTGTTTGGATTTTGATTAGTTTAAATTTAGATTTTCATTTCGTTTTTAGATCCTTGCGACTGAGTTGTATTTTTAAGCACTGATATTGTTACAACTCAGTTTATGTCTTGTTTAGTTATGGAAAAAACATTAAATCCAATAGTTCAATATTCTTTGGAATATTAACTCATTTTAAAAGATTTGTAAAGGCCTTTTCAGTTCTCTACTTTTATTTCAACTTTTTGTGGTCATTTTTTTTTTTTTTAATTTATGACTAACTATTCTGAAGGGGAATGAAGTGTTTTATTTCAAGAATTATGATGTTAGAATTTATTTATTTTTTAATTTTTTTTAAAACATCCCGACTATTAATGCAAATGTGAAGTGTCAATGTATGCAATTAATCATACTGGTTCACGGTACTTACAAAACAACCAGACTCGATAATGAACATGAGAATCACATCCTAAAGGTATTGCCAATTTTTGGACAAGCTTATTCTTATTGCCCTTCCCTGGGTTCCCCCTCCAAAAAGAAATAGAAAAAGATAAGGTAAAAATATGAATATGAAATAGCATATCTAGTTATTTTACAGCCTAGGTATTCTGTAGCTATATTGCTCGCTTCATTTTAAATGTTACCTTCATATTGTCTAAGCCATTAGCAAGGATGGTGTTGTTTTATGTTTGGTTCAAAATTCAAAATGCAGCGTACATGTTGTCGGCATAAATATGAAGATGGTTTGGCTTCTGTTGAAAAATCTGAGCACATAATAAAATGAATATGAATACATACCTTCGACTTACATGAGATTTTTTTATTCTTAACAGTAGAAACGAGAACTTACTATCCAAGAGTTTTTACTCGTACAGGATTCCTAAAATTGTTCCTACGTGCATCTATATATATTGAATGCTAATTTATCACGAAGTACGATACGAGCACAAACTTGGTCAGAAATTTGTAAATGCTTTGTGATTCATACTTTGAATAGTTGTTGGTTGTCATGGTTGATGGCTTATATCCTCCAATTTATAAAGGCTATATATCTTCCATTTTATTGGTAACCGAAATGATTTTTTTTGCCCTATATGGCCAAAGTTGATTCATACACCTTCGTTGATTTATAATCTCAATTACATGTTGAACAATATTACTAATTTTGTTTTGTTTGGTTTGATTCGTATAGTATGGTGTTCGAAAGAAGAACATACAGGTGTGAGTGATAAGAAATCAAATGTTTGGAGACTAGGATTGGTGTTATACTATTGTTTAAGTGGCTTTGGTCTATGGCCATTTTCTGTTGATACTGTGAAGTCATTAACGGGTCATGCTCTAATCGAACGGGTGAAAGATGCATTCAAGAAATTAGACCACCATCCTGAAGCTGTTAGTCTACTGAAAAATCTTTTGGGTCCATCAGATAAAAGGTATGTTGTTACCTTTCTTACTATTCTCATTTATAAATGTGGCATTTATTTCCAGAAAAGATGAAACAAAATCAACACGAATAGAACTGGGGCGCCATAGAATTTCTACTGTTTTTAGTCCACGTCATGTTGGTTTTTTTTGTTATGATTTCTTCTTTCTTTCTTCTTTGAAACAACATTCTGCTGTTGCTTTTTTTGTCTGAACTTTTTGCTACTGCAACATATTTTTATTTGTTGTTTTTTTCTTTTTACATTATTTCCTTTTAACTTTTGTTAATATTTTGGTCGTTGTCCCGCATGTTGCTTTTTTTTTTTGTTTCCTTTCTATGTTTATTTTTCTTTTATTTCATATTATCGGTTGTATCGAAAATTGTTATATATTGTGCCTTAATGTTTGATTACCGTGTACAATTTATTTTCTAGATTTTTTTTTCACCAAATAATCAATAGTAACGAAAATTATGATTACATAGTAGAAAACTCGACTTGATCCATTGTAAGTACCACACCGGATGTATGAACACCTAGTTGAAATTGATTTGATCCCATTTGTATCTTACTGCAGTGTTGGCTTGTTTTGATTTGCATAATTTGTTTTCGTTACGGATCGAGAGTCCATTGTTTATTATTGTGTTCTTTAACAATTGTTTAAAGAATATATGATGACCTTGCAGATTGGATACAAGGGCTGTGCTCCAGCACAGGTTCTTTTAGACAAAATGGAAGAAGTTGGAATTTTTATCACCGGAGGACGAGCAGCAGCTACATTTGAAGATTGACCTCCGATGAAGCCTCGTGGCCTGGTGATGTAGCTGTTGCTCGTCCTCCGGTGATGCCTCGTGGCCCTCCTCCAATCGTTCAAGGTCAATCTTCAAATGTAGCTGTTGCTCGTACTCCAGTGATAAAAGTTCCAGCTTCTTCCATTTTGTCCAAAAGAACCTGTGCTCCAGCACAGCCCTTGTATCCAATCAATCTGCAAGGTCATCATATATTCTTTAAAACAATTGTTAAAGAACACAATAATAAACAATGGACTCTCGATCCGTAACGAAAACAAATTATGCAAATCAAAACAAGTCAACACTGCAGTAAGATACAAATGGGATCAAATCAATTTCAACTAGGTGCTCAAACATCCGGTGTGGTACTTATAATGGATCAAGTCGAGTTTTCTACTATGTAATCATAATTTCTGTTACTACTGATTATTTGGTGAAACAAAAGAAAAATCTAGAAAATAAATTGTACACGATAATCAAACATTCAGGCACAATATATAATAATTTTCGATACAACCGATAATATGAAATAAAAGAAAAATAAACATAGAAAGGAAACAAAAAAAAAAAGCAACATGCGGGACAACGACCAAAATATTAACAAAAGTTAAAAGGAAATAATGTAAAAAGAAAAAAAACAACAAATAAAAATATGTTGCAGTAGCAAAAAGTTCAGACAAAAAAAGCAGCAGAATGTTGTTTCAGCCAAAGAAGAAATCATAACAAACAAACCAACATGACATGGACTAAAAACAATAGAAATTCTATGGCGCCCCAGTTCTATTCGTGTTGATTTTGTTTCATCTTTTCTGGAAATAAATGCCACATTTATAAATGAGAATAGTAAGAAAGGTAACAACATACCTTTTATCTGATGGACCCAAAAGATTTTTCAGTAGACTAACAGCTTCAGGAAGGTGGTCTAATTTCTTGGATGCATCTTTCACCCGTTCGATTAGAGCATGACCCGTTAATGACTTCACAGTATCAACAGAAAATGGCCATAGACCACAGCCACTTAAACAATAGTATAACACCAATCCTAGTCTCCAAACATTTGATTTCTTGTCACTCACATCTGTATGTTCTTCTTTCGAACACCATACTATACGAATCAAACCAAACAAAACAAAATTAGTAATATTGTTCAACATGTAATTGAGATTATAAATCAACGAAGGTGTATGAATCAACTTTGGCCATATAGGGCAAAAAAAATCATTTCGGTTACCAATAAAATGGAAGATATATAGCCTTTATAAATTGGAGGATATAAGCCATCAACCATGACAACCAACAACTATTCAAAGTATGAATCACAAAGCATTTACAAATTTCTGACCAAGTTTGTGCTCGTATCGTACTTCGTGATAAATTAGCATTCAATATATATAGATGCACGTAGGAACAATTTTAGGAATCCTGTACGAGTAAAAACTCTTGGATAGTAAGTTCTCGTTTCTACTGTTAAGAATAAAAAAATTTCATGTAAGTCGAAGGTATGTATTCATATTCATTTTATTATGTGCTCAGATTTTTCAACAGAAGCCAAACAATCTTCATATTTATGCCGACAACATGTACGCTGCATTTTGAATTTTGAACTAAACATAAAACAACACCATCCTTGCTAATGGCTTAGACAATATGAAGGTAACATTTAAAATGAAGCGAGCAATATAGCTACATAATACCTAGGCTGTAAAATAACTAAATATGCTATTTCATATTCATCTTTTTACCTTTTCTTTTTGGAGGGGAACCTGGGGAAGGGCAATAAGAATAAGCTTGTCCAAAAATAGGCAATACCTTTAGGATGTGATTCTCATGTTCATTATCGAGTCTGGTTGTTTTGTAAGTACTGTGGACCAGTATGATTAATTGCATACATTGACACTTCACATTTGCATTAATAGTCGGGATGTTTTAAAAAAAATTAAAAAAAAAATAAATCCTAACATCATAATTCTTGAAATAAAACACTTCATTCCCCTTCAGAATAGTTAGTCATAAATAAAAAAAAATGACCAAAAAAAGTTGAAATAAAAGTAGAGAACTGAAAAGGCCTTTACAAATCTTTTAAAATGAGTTAATATTCCAAAGAATATTGAACTATTGGATTTAATGTTTTTTCCATAACTAAACAAGACATAAACTGAGTTGTAACAATATCACCAAGATAGTGCTTAAAAATACAACTCTGTCGCAAGGATTTAAAAACGAAATGAAAATCTAAATTTAAACTAATCAAAATCCAAACAATGAAAGGAACCAAAATTCAAAGCCAGAGTATATTTACCAATATACGAAATGAAAGAAGGAATTTCATAATTCATATCTTGGATCAACATTATGCAAATAACTCTTCTTTGGTCAAGGACTGTTTTCAAATATCAGTAACTTTCACAGGTTTTTCAAGTATACAGACTTTTTGTGCAATTTATAAATTGAGGTAAAAAAGTAAAAGCAAGTTGATACATAGAGAGTTGGAAACTGTATCCCCCAAAAAAGTGGGGGGTTGAGCTATTAAAGAAATGGCTTGATAAATTGTCGTGCCTAAATCAGTTCCAATCTAAACAACGAATTCTGTGTAGTACCCACAATCGGATATAGTAATCTCGTTTTTTTAATATCAAATCACATATTTTCCTCCAATCGCCCTTTTTTAGGTTAGTTCTTAAATCTTTATTATAATTACCAGACTTAGTATTAAAGATGGACCCAACAGTTGCTAGTTTGAGAAACTACAAATTTTCACAATATGGGGGGATGAAGTATAAGAGCATGACTCTTGATTTTGATTTTCACATCTCACAAGTCACAATCTTAATATTCATGAGGGAAGGCAAAAGATTTTGTTGCATCCATTTCATTCTTTCTCACACAGTGTAGTAGTAAACCAACATCATCAACCACATATTGTAGTGCCAGTCCTCGTAATGTCTAAGCTTCAAACACTTTCATGAATTTCGTAACCCTTTTGGTTCATTCCATTATTCTTTTGCCGTTTTCCATTCACCAACAATATATATATATATATATAGTTGGAAAGTTAAAATGTGAATTGTACTTACTCGTATTGCAATCTGGTTTATTCCTCACTGTGAGTATAGACAGATTCACTTCAAGTCTGTAACCCTTAACATGCAGTAGGATGTTACTTAATTTCATATTGTAGCATAATTCGCCTTTCTCGTGTAGGGAATTTACCGCCTCGACAGTATCCCTGAACATGAAAATAAGTTAATATTATCTAGAAATATTTTTCTAAGTAAGAAAGTGGTTGGTTTTTTGTGCATACCTTAATATCCAAATAAGCAAGGAGGAAGGTCTTTTTTGTCCATAAGACATCTCCCACAACGGAAATGTGTAACCTCCAACACGTCCATTTTTGTCCATGAGATATTTCAAATCACATTCATACTTCTTCATTACCTGATAGAAGTACTTGTCATCACTCCAAATATTGATACTTACAATACGAGCATATGAGGAAAAAATAATAAACTCTCTTAAATTAACTTTTTACTTCTTAATTACCTGATAGAAGTAATTTTCATCTCTCCTAATATATTTGGAGTGATGACAAGTGCTTCTATCAGGTAATTAAGAAGTAAAAAGTTAATTTGAGAGAGTTTATTATTTTTGTCCTCATATGCTCGTATTTTAAGTATCAATATTTGGAGTGATGACAAGTACTTCTATCAGGTAATGAAGAAGTATGAATGTGATTTGAAATATCTCATGGACAAAAGTGGACGTGTTGGGGTTATACATTTTCGTTGTGGGAGATGTCTTATGGACAAAAAAGACCTTCCTCCTTGCTTATAAGGATATTAAGGTATGTACAAATAACCAACCACTTTATTACTTAAAAAAATATTTCTAGATAATATTAACTTATTTTCATGTTCACGGATACTGTCGAGGCGGTAAGTTCCCTACACGAGAAAGGCGAATTATGCTACAATATGAAATTAAGTAACATCCTACTGCATGTTAAGGGTTACAGACTTGAAGTGAATCTGTCTATACTCACAGTGAGGAATAAACCAGATTGCAATACGAGTAAGTACAATTCACATTTTAACTTTCCAATTATATATATGTATTGTTGGTGAATGGAAAACGGCAAAAGAATAATGGAATGAACCAAAAGGGTTACGAAATTCATGAAAGTGTTTGAAGCTTAGACATTACGAGGACTGGCACTACAATATGTGGTTGATGATGTTGGTTTACTATTGCACTGTGTGAGAAAGAATGAAATGGATGCAACAAAATCTTTTGCCTTCCCTCATGAATATTAAGATTGTGACTTGTGAGATGTGAAAATCAAAATCAAGAGTCATGCTCTTATACTTAATCCCCCCATATTGTGAAAATTTGTAGTTTCTCAAACTAGCAACTGTTGGGTCCATCTTTAATACTAAGTCTGGTAATTACAATAAAGATTTAAGAACTAACCTCAAAAAGGGCGATTGGAGGAAAATATGTGATTTGATATTAAAAGAACGAGTTTACTATATCCGATTGTGGGTACTACACAGAATTCGTTGTTTAGGTTGGAACTGATTTAGGCACGACAATTTATCAAGCCATTTCTTTAATAGCTCACCCCCCCACTTTTTTGGGGGATACAGTTTTTAACTCTCCATGTATCAACTTGCTTTTACTTTTTTACCTCAATTTATAAATTGCACAAAAAGTCTGTATACTTGAAAAACCTGTGAAAGTTACTGATATTTGAAAACAGTCCTTGACCAAAGAAGAGTTATTTGCATAATGTTGATCCAAGATATGAATTATGAAATTCCTTCTTTCATTTCGTATATTGGTAAATATACTCTAGCTTTGAATTTTGGTTCCTTTCATTGTTTGGATTTTGATTAGTTTAAATTTAGATTTTCATTTCGTTTTTAGATCCTTGCGACTGAGTTGTATTTTTAAGCACTATCTTGGTGATATTGTTACAACTCAGTTTATGTCTTGTTTAGTTATGGAAAAAACATTAAATCCAATAGTTCAATATTCTTTGGAATATTAACTCATTTTAAAAGATTTGTAAAGGCCTTTTCAGTTCTCTACTTTTATTTCAACTTTTTGTGGTCATTTTTTTTTATTTATGACTAACTATTCTGAAGAATTTTTTTTTTTTAATTTTTTTTTAAAACATCTCGACTATTAATGCAAATGTGAAGTGTCAATGTATGCAATTAATCATACTGGTTCACAGTACTTACAAAACAACCAGACTCGATAATGAACATGAGAATCACATCCTAAAGGTATTGCCAATTTTTGGACAAGCTTATTCTTATTGCCCTTCCCTGGGTTCCCCCTCCAAAAAGAAATAGAAAAAGATAAGGTAAAAATATGAATATGAAATAGCATATCTAGTTATTTTGCAGCCTAGGTATTCTGTAGCTATATTGCTCGCTTCATTTTAAATGTTACCTTCATATTGTCTAAGCCATTAGTAAGGATGGTGTTGTTTTATGTTTGGTTCAAAATTCAAAATGCAGCGTACATGTTGTCGGCATAAATATGAAGATGGTTTGGCTTCTGTTGAAAAATCTGAGCACATAATAAAATGAATATGAATACATACCTTCGACTTACATGAGATTTTTTTATTCTTAACAGTAAAAACGAGAACTTACTATCCAAGAGTTTTTACTCGTACAGGATTCCTAAAATTGTTCCTACGTGCATCTATATATATTGAATGCTAATTCATCACGAAGTACGATACGAGCACAAACTTGGTCAGAAATTTGTAAATGCTTTGTGATTCATACTTTGAATAGTTGTTGGTTGTCATGGTTGATGGCTTATATCCTCCAATTTATAAAGGCTATATATCTTCCATTTTATTTGTAACCGAAATGATTTTTTTTGCCCTACATGGCCAAAGTTGATTCATACACCTTCTTTGATTTATAATCTTAATTACATGTTGAACAATATTACTAATTTTGTTTTGTTTGGTTTGATTCGTATAGTATGGTGTTCGAAAGAAGAACATACACGTGTGAGTGACAAGAAATCAGATGTTTGGAGACTAGGATTGGTGTTATACTATTGTTTAAGTGGCTGTGGTATATGGCCATTTTCTGTTGATACTGTGAAGTCATTAACGGGTCATGCTCTAATCGAACGGGTGAAAGATGCATTCAAGAAATTAGACCACTTTCCTTAAGCTGTTAGTCTACTGAAAAATCTTTTGGGTCCATCAGATAAAAGGTATGTTGTTACCTTTCTTACTATTCTCATTTATAAATGTGGCATTTATTTCCTGAAAAGATGAAACAAAATCAACACGAATAGAACTGGGGCGCCATAGAATTTCTGCTGTTTTTAGTCCATGTCATGTTGGTTTGTTTGTTATGATTTCTTCTTTCTTTCTTCTTTGGCTGAAACAACATTCTGCTGCTGCTTTTTTTGTCTGAACTTTTTGCTACTGCAACATATTTTTATTTGTTGTTTTTTTCTTTTTACATTATTTCCTTTTAACTTTTGTTAATATTTTGGTCGTTGTCCCGCATGTTGCTTTTTTTTTTTGTTTCCTTTCTATGTTTGTTTTTCTTTTATTTCATATTATCGGTTGTATCGAAAATTGTTATATATTGTGCCTGAATGTTTGATTACCGTGTACAATTTATTTTCTAGATTTTTCTTTTGTTTCACCAAATAATCAGTAGTAACGAAAATTATAATTTCATAGTAGAAAACTCGACTTGATCCATTGTAAGTACCACACCGGATGTTTGAGCACCTAGTTGAAATTGATTTGATCCCATTTGTATCTTACTGCAGTGTTGGCTTGTTTTGATTTGCATAATTTGTTTTCGTTACGGATCGAGAGTCCATTGTTTATTATTGTGTTCTTTAACAATTGTTTTAAAGAATATATGATGACCTTGCAGATTGGATACAAGGGTTGTGCTCCAGCACACGTTCTTTTGAACAAAATGGAAGAAGCTGGAATTTTTATCTGCGGTTAGTGAGTCTAGCATTAATATGAGAAATCAAATGAACAAATCAAGTACGTATAAAGAATGGCGTAAGCTAGTTGAGAATGCCCTGTTCGATGAGATGCATAGTATGGCCAAAGCGAATTGGTCATCTGGGTATCTTATGGAGACCATAAATATATTGTTGAAGTTCGTGAGAAATTTGAGAAACCACTTCAACGCCCTGTCAGCTGAAAATCAGACATTGTTGGAAAATGATGTCGCTGGCTACATAGACAAAAAATTTCCAAAACTATTGACGAAGTCTATCAAGAGGTCATCGAGTTAGGTGGAGATCACAAAACCACTCTTCATATGTATTATGATTGAGGTGGAATTTAGCAATCAGGACTTTAAATTTTGGCTTCATTTTTAAAATATCTTTAGTCTTGAATAAGCTTATACGATTATTATGTTTCATCATCTTATTGCAGGGGCTCAATGAGAAAGCATCAGAAGCAAAAAAAGAGAATTGACTTTTTATTTTATTCCTTTTGGGTGAGCAAAGGTCGTTGACCGCTGCCATTGAACTCATTAGATGTTTGAGAATGATTAAAGAACATGATCTTGTTGTTGATAAGAATGGTTGTGTATCTTATTGGCTTTAGACTGTTTTGTTATTTGTAATTGTAAGGAACACTTGTGTTTAGTGTTTCCTCCGTTGGCTCCCTTGTATATTGTTGTGTTTTGGGGCTTTGTTTGACCCGTTGCTTACCCGATTCTTTGTATTTTTGAGTTTCCTTATAATGTTTTTTTTTTTCAAGGGCAAGCAGAAAAGATCTCATAACACGAAAGAAACGTTTTACAACCCGGGGATCAACTGGTCCATACTACAAACAAAAATGAGAGGGACACTCCAAAGGTGCCTTAAAACCTAAAAGCAACAACAAAAGATGAAAGAAACTAAACACTGTGACAACAACTTGCAACTCCTAATTTAAAACAATAGGCCAAAGGAAACAAAGAAACCTGGCTAAAGGCAGCAATTAGAGGTTGGTACCTTCAGCAGACCAACACACCACCACACCACCAGATGACAAAAGCACATGAGCAAAAAAACTGAAAGCACCAACAGCAAAGGGGCAGATTACCACTGCACCAAACATGACTTAGCAAAGAGCCACCTCAGCCTAGCAGCACTAATAGATCACTGAAGCAGAAAATTCAGTCCAATCCTTTAAGGCAGCTTTCACCACTTCAAATTCTGGCATAAGGGAGTTTTGGAATTTCTAGAGATTCCTGACTTCCACAACCACCATAACACATATGTGGCTAGTTGAATTATATCTTGGGAAATAGTCGACCTATCCAAAGAACAAACCATCCACCACCAATTTTTAAAACTGTTTCAATCCCCCGAGATACTAGCCCAAGTTACTGGAGCAAGCTTCCATACCTTCTGAGCTATTGGACAGTGAAAGAAGATATGTTCTGCATTTTCCAAGGCTTCACCACCACTCTGGCACAAGGGTCAACTGACATTCCTCTGGACCTCAAATTCTGACTTGTAGGCAATGTGTTACTGTAACATTTCAACAAGAAGTACAACAACAACAACAACAACAACAACAACAACAAGTGTTTTAGTTTATTTTTTTTATCTTCAGAGCCCAGCTTCTTCTCCTCAAGTTTTTGTCTCTGAGAGACTTCTGCTACATCCAGGTTTATCACCTTTTGCCTCATAAGGTTTGAGTAGGTGCCAACCACAGAAAAGGATCCTTTGGAGTCCAAATCCTACCTCCATCTATCTATAAACAAAGGATCCAAAGTTTTGATGTCTTGGATTGCCTTTCTATCCTGATCACTAAATATATCCCTCATAAGCTCATAGTTCCATCTTCTCCCCCCAACCTCAAACAACTGATTCACCCAAACAAGATTATAGTTCCCCCCATTTTTCAACACTAGTGTACCTGATTTTAGAGAAGGGACCCAGGGTCCTCCCATATTCTGCTTGTTACCCCATATTTGATCTCAATACTAAAGCAATACCATTATTTGTCTCTCATAGCCATCCAGTTTGACTAGCCAGAAAGAGGTAGAAGATTTCTTCACTTTAACAATAGAGGAGTTAGGGAAATACCTGGCTTTTAAGACCTTGCTCACCTTAGAGAGATTCTCCAAATCTGCTTCAGAATGAGGGAATCATTAAACAGAATGAGGTCTTTAAATCCCAGCCCTCCAGCCTATTTAGGAATATAAACAAACTTCCAAGCCTTCCAATGCATCCCAGCAGCCTAATCTTTTTCCTTTACTCCACCAAAATGAAGAACATAAACCAGCTATCACCCTGCATACAGTCTTAGGCAGACGAAAACAAGACATTGAAAAGACAGGCATTGTAGCTAACACAACTTTGACCAGAACTTCCTTTCCAGCTAATGATAGAAAATTGTTCTTCCACTTAATCAATATTGATCTCACAACCTTAATAACAAAGTCAAAAACATCTTTTTTTAATCTTCCATGTCCAGGGGGAGAGCCAAGTATCTAGAGGAATTAAGCATTTGATTACCCATCAACAGCTGACAAATATTAAACTTCACGTCTGAAGAATAGTTTTTGCTAAAGAAAATAGAGGATTTACACAAATTCACTTTCTGCCCTGTAAACATCCTGTATTGATCCAATAAATACAAAAGCAAAGAGGCATGATGACTATCAGCAACACAAAAGACCAGAGCATCAGCAAATAGCAGGTGAGATAACTGAGGGCCAGATCTAGAAATTTTGAGGCCTTTAAAATTTCCCTTCAAAACTTCAGCTTGCAACAGTTTAGAGAAAACTTCAAAAACCAAATTGAACAAATAGGGGAAAAGAGGGTCCCCCCTGTCTAATACCTCTTGAAGCAGAAATATACCCTTTAACCCCTTCATTAATATTAAAATAATAAGAGGCAGAAGACACACAAGCTAGAACCCACTTGACAAAAACCCTATGAAACCCCATTTTTGACAAGATTTTCTGAATACACCCGCATTCCACCCTATCATATGCCTTTTCCATATCCAAATTTACAGCCATGTACCCTCTAGAGCTAGAAGAATGTATGTTTAAATAATGAATGGCCTAGTGGGCAATGACCACATTATCAATCAACTGTCTTCTAGGGATAAAAGCAGCTTGAGTCACACTAATACAGCTATCCAGACAAGGTTTAAGCCTAGCAGATAGATTTTTGATATGATTTTATAAGAGACACTACACAGCAATTGGTCTGAAGTTTTGCAAGAGAATCAGGATTCAAACACTTAGGAATTAAAGTGATTAAAGTATGGTTCCAATTCTTAAGAAGAAGCCCTGACTTAAAGAAACTACCCACAACAGCACAAGCATCAAATTTGATCACATCCCAACAAAATTTAAAAAATGATAGGAGACATACCGTTTTGCCCAGCAGCTTTACCTGAATCCATGTTGAACAAAGCTTATATGATGTCTTCATCTGTGATAGGAGCCACAAGAGCATTGTTCATCTCCTCAGAAATGGAATTAGGAATAAGATGCACAATCTTTAAAAGCCACTGGATCCTTGAGAGGTGAATAAAGACCCATAAAAGGAGCACACACATTATTCTATATTCGTCTTAGACTCACATGGACCCCTTTCTCATTAATCAGTCTAGTGACGACATTATCCTTCTTTTTTTACATTACTAGAGTATGTAAATACTTGGAGTTGGAACCACCATCTTTCACCCATTAGCTCTGGCTTTTTGGTGCTACAAGTCCTCTTCTTTCTTTATTATTCTATCTATTTGTTTTTTTTTTCAAGTTATGCCACTCATTACAGTCCCTTCTTTCCCCAAGCTTACTTAACTCTTCTAGTCTGACAACAACTTTTTCTTTTACTTTCAACCTTTCAGTTCTAAAAAATATGCTCCATCTCAGCAAAACAATTCTAGTCTACTTGATCTTCTCAGATTTGAAACATTGGAGTTCCACTATTTTGAATCTTTTGAATCCTCCAAGCATTCAACACTGTTTCTCTAACCCATGCCAAGCTCAACCTCCTTTTGTAAAAAAAGAATCTTTTATTTCTGTTTTCAGTACTGACAATAATCTTATTAGAAAGCACCAACATCCTGTGGTCATAGACACTCTGAAAGAAAGTTTCTACCTGAGCATCCCAGTGAGAATCTAACCAGTTGAAGGATCCAAAAATTCTATCTATTTTTTCCTCTATGAACCCTTCAAGCTCTCTATTATTACCTCAAGTAAACTGATGTCCAATCATTCTAATCTTTTGCATCTACATTCTAGAAATAAACTCATTAAACCCTCTGATAGTTCCAAGTCCGACTTACTTCTTCCCCCCATTTCTCACTCCCATCACAGATTTCATTCCAATCACCCCCAACTAGCCCATTAGAGCCCCACTTCACCTTAGCTTCCTCAAGTAAATCCCATTGAAACTCCCTAGTTCTTCTATGAGTGCTAGAATAAACAAAAATCACCCAAAAAGAAATAAAATCAGCAGACTCTTCAACTCCAACTTTCATTCAAAAAGACTGCCCCAGAATTTGTTTAATTTTAATTTCCTTATTTCCACAGAAGTAGGAGCCCTCCACTTAACCCATGAGGTTCCGCAACAAACCACCTATCTCTATACCCCATTTTACTAGGCAATTACACATTGTCTTAACAAACTCCTTTTTTTTTTCAGAAATAAAAATAAAATCAGGGTGATGGACTCTAAAAGAGTCCTTGATCTAGGTAACTGTAGAGGGCTCACACAGACATCTAGACCTCTACAGTTCCACAAGATCATCTTCATTTGGAAACCTGTGGCCAATTTAGGCTGCCTTCCTCCACCTTAGGACTAGAGCTTGGCTGAG